TTTTTGGCCAACTGGGTTCATTTATTCTCTAATCAACAGTGTCCGCTTCCATTGTTTCTTTGTACATGCAAATTTCGGTCACGCTTTCATTTTCATTCATTAGTTTTACAATTTACAAAAATTATGAATTTATGATTGTCAAAGTGTACATAGACATATAGAGAAATCTCATTTAGATTGATAGATTCAGGCAAGCATGTTCGAGAGATTGAGAGAGAGAGAGAGGGAGGAAACCAAAGCGGAACTACACTTAACGCATTAGTAATTGAGATTCACCTCTAGGTCCGAGATTGTTCTAAACACGATTGCCTGTATCGAGAAAATACGAATCTTTCTCTAGGAGAACCGCGATTCATATCTCTAGGGTACGGCTACACCCTGTGGTTACCCTAAGCTAGAGTCACTGGCTAAACACTACCAAATATGCTAAAAAAACTCCGCGACATATAACAATACTTACTAGCCATAATGTACTAAAATTAGGTTCCTTCATGCAAACCTTTTTAATTTTTTTTAGTCACGTCAGGTCTGGTTTTATTTTGATCTAAATACTGACCTGATTCGAAAGGCGCCAGAAAACGGCGTTTTCCAGAAAAATAATACAGGTTGTTTTTAAAATAAGTGCGAGTATTTGAAGTGGTGGTAGATTTTTGGAGAAAAGAAACGTATTTTCTTATTACTAACTTTGAAAATTTTACTTTTAACCCTCAGATTATTAGAAGACTGCCACATAAACAAAAAAGAATACAGATAATTTGATCGAAAATACTTGCAACAATTATTAGAATTTATTCTATCTATTTAGTTCAAAGTAGCTGTAAAAATGTATTATTGTTAACAAAACAGTGTTAACAAAATGTCACTCATAGGATTAAAATTAATATATTGTATATATAATTTATTGTGTAGAAAATAAACATTGCTGTGAATTTATAAACATACAAATTGTAGACAGTGTGTATCGTAGGAGGTGGCAACATTGCACATCGTCGATACACCATCAAAACTATTATGTCTCTTAAAAACTTCCTGAAAAATGTCAAGAAAAGCGTATTTTTTTAAACAATTTCTTTACAAAAAACCCTCATAGGTGTGATTCTGGAGCCTGCCAGAAAGATATACATTCAGATTCAAAAAAAAATATAACGGAAAAATGTTTGATCAAGTTTAAAATGTTATATTTTGTATTTTTAGAACTATTTCCTTGTTTTATTTAGCAAACAGTATATAAATATATCAATTTTAATTCGCAAATCCAGTTTATTATAAACTTTAGTATGTAACTTATTATACAGTTAATCGAAGGGTTGTTTTTCACTCTAAAACACCCTGTGTAATAATTTCGTGAGCAAATTTTCCTAAAACATTATTTTTCGGTCAGAACCACGTCTCCTGAATATGTATTTTGTTTTTTGACTCATGCCTGCAATGTTTTCAATTATCGTTACTTTTTGATGTTATCCTTCATAATGATGAGGTGGCTTTGGTGATTGTTGTGTCCGATTGAATATTGTTCACAAGACGGTCAATATGTTTGCGCAATAACATTGCCCAAAAATATTGTTAGGTATCTCCAAACAGAACAATGAATTTGTTCAATAACTAGTTTCGATTTCCACTTTGGTTAACATGGATAAGAAAAAAACAAGCTGCTATTGCTATTGTTTTGGCCACTTGTGTAAGAAAGAAACAAAAGTGTCGAAGTAAATGGATGAAAGATTGGTATAATAAAAGAGGCCATATTCTTTGCTTTTTGTACTCCATAAAGCTGGCAAAGAATTGTACATTTCGATGACTTATAAAATAAATCGTCTTTCTTCCTCTTTTACTTTTGATCCCATATTTGCTGACAAACCACTGATCTAAATATTCTAAGTAGAGAGTGGCGAGACAAACACGCAGAGAAAACAAAAATATACTGAACTATTGTGCAATATTATCCACACACGATACAAAATAATCACTATTGCAAAATAAAAATCAAACTCTTTTTGATTGACACAATATATTGTGCAACCTTTCAGTGTAAACCCTAAACGGTCAATATTATTGCACAATATGAAATATTGCGCAATAATATTAACCGTTTGTGGGCCGCTTTAGTGTCGAATATTGTGCAAAAGTCATTGATCTTGTTGAAGATGACCGAAATCATGAATATTCGCTTGGTTCTTGAAGAATGGGACAAAATAACACAATATATTTGGAGTCTCATGAACAGTATAAACAGAGGTCTACAGACAATTATAGAAAGTATTAGAGTATTTTTTACAAAGTTTTTTTTTGTTTGTACACTTAATTATTCAATTATTTTTTTTAAATATCCTTAGTTCTGTTTGTGTTACTAATATTTATTAAAACCAAGTCTGTATCGTAACTTTTTAACGTTTTTTAAATTTTAATATAGAGTTCTAAAAAATGTCGATATGACATTGCAATAGTCGCCTCATCATATTAAAAAATTACATCATAAAAGTAATGATAGTTGAAAAAATTACAAATTGTTGGTGGCTAGTTCATTTCGCTCATAACAATTAACCAAGGCATGTGTTGACATGAATCAAAAAACAAAATGCTCAGGAGACATGGCTCTGATCGAAAAACAATGTTTTAGGAAAAGTTATTCACAAAATTCTTGCACAGGGCCACAGTGGAGTATTAGCATGAAAAAGGTGATCGAAATTCGAAAAAGCAAATGTGTTTGGTTTGGTTTGGATCCCAAAAAAAGATAAATGATAAGTTAAATCATGTCTGCAATGAATGGCATTGCTATGGGCGTGTTTAGTTGCGTTCATTTGTTTCAACGAAATGTCAAAGTTGTTACTTCTCACAGATAAGAGGTAAATGGCTAAATTTAATGTTTAAAATTATAAATTGTTGTTCTTGTGCTCCTTTTACGTTTATATTATTGTTTTGATTGAAAATGGCTCAGCAAGCTGCAGGTGTGTATTCTACAAAAACATATTATTTATTTTGATATTCTCTATACTAACGATTTTTTTTGCAACTAAAAGTTAGGCGTTCAGAAAATTTGATTAAATTTGTGACATTTTTATAATACTTAGAGATTTAGTTGCGCATTTCGAACAATTCAGAATATTGCCTATATACGTTTTACTTAGTAAACATTGGGCTTTCATACAGTAAAATAAAATACTGCGACTTTTTGCGACTTTGCTGATAAAATGAGAAAAACATTCTCGGTTTCCTCTAATTTGCAAATCAGTGATATACTAATGCGAGGTGTAAACCGCGATGGCATTGTTGTGTACAAAGCGATCGCATTAGTGCCATTAGCAGTATAGCACAATTTGGCATTAGTAGCGGCTTTAGTGGTATGGGCATTGGTCGCGGATCAGTCGTAGCATTAGTAGTATTAGTTGCGATATTACTACTGGCATTAGTGGCATTGACCGTAGAAACACCGGAACAGTGATTTTTCTTTCCTTTTTTTAGAATCGACGAATTATCCTTTATTTTGTTCCTATTATTTCCTCTTTAATTTAAAATGGCAATGATTTATATAAGGTCTACATAAAAAAAATTCGATCAACTATCGGTGTCAAATACTCCACTGTGCGGGCGTTTTAAAGTTAGGGTTAAAACCACCCTTCCATTAACCCTGTATAATAAGCCAAACAATAAAGTTAAAAAAACTGAGTTTATGAATTAAAGTTGATAGATTTATATACAGTTTGTTACATAATTCATGAAAATAGGGGTAAAAGTTAAAGAAATATAACACTTTAAATTTGACAAAGAAATTCCGTTGCGTTTTTTTGGATCTATAGTCTGTGAAACAAATAACTTTGAATTTGGCAGTTCCCGCGGGCTTTTCTAGTGTATATTTTATTAGGTTAGCAACTTGCGGCCATGCTGACGCAATGTCGTCTCTAATAGAACAGCCTCGGAGCGAGATTTATGACGTCACGCTAGTTAGATACTACGGATTAATAAATATGTTGTAGAATAGATGGAAAACATAATTATTCCTCGTATTTTCGGTCTGTATTTTAAAAATGATTTAGTTTACATGAAATATACATAATATACAGTTAATAACTTTTTTAATAATATTAAATAATATTAATTTATTATTATTTATTGTTTTTGTTTATTTTTTAAAATTATTATTCTTAACACTAAACTATCTACATTGACTATGGATGAAATCGTACTCCATCCTAACCTAAATCCCAAGAAAATCAAAAATTTTAGAATAATTTTACATATAAAATGACAGCGATCTTTATTTTATAGCCATCGCTGATGCCTTTTTTCTATGATATTTTATTATTTGCAAATATAATTTTTCGAACATTGATACTTGCAAAATATATCTACATATAAATTTGGTGAGTGCAAATAATAATACATCACTATTAGTAGATATTGAACGTTTTTTGTTAAATTAGATCGGTTTCAAACCCCAAAATTTAAAATATATTTTACATTTTACCCATTATCTTATGTACCTATTCATTATTTGTATATTGTAAAACATTTGGTGCATTTGATGGTTTATAGTTTATTTGCCAAAGTATTTATTAATATAAATAGGTATATATATATTGTATTTATTAACTGTATATTATGTATATTTCATGTAAACTATATCATTTTTAAAATACAAACCAAAAATACGAGGAATAATTATGTTCTCTATGTATTTTATAACATACTTATTAATCCTTAGTATCTAACTAGCGTGACGTCATAAATCTCGTTCCGAGGCTGTTATATTAGAGACGGCATTGGTTTGATATTTAGAAATGTCAAAAGCTGATGACATTTTACTTTTGGCAATTAAGACATTTCGTGTTGTTTTTTGCAAGAAGAGGAAGAACTGTCACTTGTTTTATTATTTTCCTTTTCTATTTCACGAAAGTAAAAAGAGTTACCTATCTGATTCGTTCAGGCACTCAATTTAAAGAATATCAGTAACTTTTTTGACAGAGGGATTTTATATTTGCCATGTTGGTAAAAAATAACGGTCAAAATTCAAAGTTATTCATTTTATAGACTATACCACTTAAAATTGTTGCACTTTGCACTTATTTATGTAACACCCTGTATAATGAATTTGATTTAGTTCTCAGGTGAACTTTTTTTCTGGAAAACTCCATTTCCGGCATTAAATTACATAATTTTTTCAAACCGACCCGACGTGACCGGCAAATATTAATTAATCTCTAATAATAATATTATTTTAGCGTATTGCACATGAAATAACCTACATTACATGTCTCCTATAATAACATGTGTTAAACATCTCTATAATATAAACTTACAAAAAAAATAACATCGCGGCAATTTTCAACCACCTCACAACGCTAATCCTAAAAAATTCCATGTCTGTTAAACAGTTGCTTATTTTGAATTAAAGCGAGTCTAATACTGGCTAAGAAAGAGAATAATATATCGTAAAAGTAGAAAAATATGCGATGCATCCGAAAAATAAAACGTTGTTGTCAAAAATCGTAAGAAAATAGAAACTAACATTACTATAACTTAATGTTTAGCAAACTTTGTTCGCTACTATTCTAGAAATACTTAGGTCGTATATACTGTTGATTGTGTCGATTCAAAGATCTAAAAGAATTAAAAAAGAAACTAACAGAACGAAGCTTAACCTGCCAAAAACAGTCTATATAAATAACATAAAAATGTACGTTATTTGTCATAATTATAATAATAAATAAGCGCTGTTTTGTAACTTTATCAATTAGCTACCATTCGGACTCTGATAATGGAATGAATACTGGTGTAATTGGGCGTTTTAGGCCATTATATACTCGATTTCGAGAACGAGACTCTTAGATGGTTCGATTCGGACAGTTGGTAGTTGTGCATCTTTATTAAAGCTATCACCGCCTCTTCCATGCTGGGCAGTTGAATTAGTGCCATCTTCTTGTCCTTCCTACAAAAAGAAGAAAACACTTTTTAAAATTCTCTATATTTGATTTTAATCATTGTTGACAAATAAAGACTTCGAATATCTCACTCGATTACATTTTAAAGACCCTAGAAATTAGTTTTTATATTTAACTAGCGTGTACCATCAGCGACTTCGTTCGCGTCGAATTAATCATTGTAAAGGTGATTGATTTGACATTGAAAGGTGAAGCAAAGCAAGAATTTCCATTAACATATAAACTGGATAAAGTTTTCTCACATTTATGTCAGCATGAGAAAAAACAATATGGCGATATTATTATATAACTTGGTAATATTTGAGGGCTAGTTTCATCTCGTTGGAATTTGACTTTCGAAAAATCCGTTTGCCAAAAATAAGCTTTTTACGTCAAGCAGTTTAAGCAGAATCGTGGTTAATCAATTACCCAACTTTTTGGAACACCCTGTATGATTTTTTAAAAAATTTCAAAATACGTAAAAAAACCAAATAAATTATGCTTGTCCAAGCGTTTTCCCGAAAGACTAACCGTTTTTTAAATAACAAATATTGTAATATTCGAGGGGCGTTTTCACCCCCTTGGAATTTGAGATTCGAGAAATCCCTCCTTATCGAACCTCTACACCCCACAGTTAATCCGTTTGCCAAAAATCAGCTTTAAACGTCAAGCAGTTTAAGCAGAATCGTGATTACTCAATGGTCATATTTTATAAAACACCCTGTATAAATTTTTAAAAAATTTTAAAATATGTAAAACAACAAAACAAAATATACGTGTTTAAGAGTTTTTTCCGAAAAAATCACCGGTTTCTAAATAAAAAATACTCTAATATTTGAAGGGTGGTTTCACTTCCTTAGAATTCGAGTTTCGAAAAATCCCTTCTTATCGAACCTCTACACCCTAGAGTAATCTGTTTTCCAAAAATCAGCTTTTTACGTCAAGCGCTTTAAGCAGGTCGATTAATTAATGACCAGATTTTTCGAAACACCCTGTATACATTTTTAAAAAATCTTAAAATATATAAAAAAAACAAAATAAAATATACGTGTTTAAGCGTTTTTTCGGAAACTTGACCGTTTTTTAAATAAAAAATATTGTAATATTTGAGGGGTGGTTTCACCCTCTTGGAACTGGAATTTCGAAAAATCCCTTCTTATTGAACCTCTACACCCTAGAATCAACCTGTATGCCAAAATTGAGCTTCTTTCGTTGAGTGGTTTGAGCAGGATCGTGATTAATCAGTATGTCAGTCACTTAAGGATTTTATATATTAGTAGAGATTTTTTCTTCCTTTCGATTTAGTATTCAGGTCAGGAGGAGATATGAATCCTTTATTGAATTTAATACTTCTGTTTCTTAAGTAAAGATATGATCACGTAATGACCAGAGATGAGCAAAACTGCGATTCTTCAATCGCAGTTGAAACTGTTGCTGCGATTTTTAAATTGCTGCCACTGTAATCTGCGATTGCTATTTTAATAATTAGTGTACTAGTTATATATAAATGTAATTTAAATATTGTACTAGGTATATAATAAGGACTGGCAAAGGTTAGTCTTGGATCGAGATTTCCGTATGTAAGAAGAGTATAAGGCGTTTATAATGTACTGAACAAAGAGAGAACAGTAAACACGTTGCCAAACGTATGAAATAAACCGAGAAACTGTGCGCCTTGCTAAGAGACGTGGAAGGGATATTATAGCACTTATAGCAGATTTGTCGCAGTTAACCGGTCGACCCAATCAGTACCTCTGTCAGTACTTAAAGTTCTAAGGAAAGGTGCACATCATGCGTTCAGCTCACAATTTAATTACGTCTCGTGATACTTTATTTGTTTATTTATCAACGCGTCGTTGTAATTTTCCCTATAGCTTGAAAATTTTTAAGTGCAAGTTAGAAACACTTTTTGGTAAAAATAAGTGGTATTGAGTTGGTGTTCGACAGTGGTCGCGCTATTAGCACTCTAAATTCAAAAACTGATATCTCGAAATCTATTAGAAATAATTGATTGTAGTTTCTTCGAAAACTTTCTTAACATTTGTGCTATTTTCTTCGCAGACAGTCTGTTAAAACCTTTATAAATAAAAAGTCACACGATTGCTGAAAATTGCTATTCACTAAAAGTATGGGTTGTTTAAAATTTTTGAATGAAAAAAAAAACAACCTTATCGAATTTTTCTTATTTAAACATATTGTAAAAGGTCCGATCTTCAAAATAAAAAAAAGTTTCAATATCTAAAGTGGTTCTTAAGTTATGGCGTGTTATGGGTTAAAAAGTTGAGTTTTTAAATTATCGTGGCTACTGATGTTTTCTCGTTATAAAAAAAATGGACACCCTAACGATATCCTTATAATTCCGTTTCAGATACTTAGAAATATACCTAATGATTTTATCTATATAGTTATCTTTTCGAAGAAAATGTCTTTTAAAAATAAGTGGTAGGGAAAGGCGTACCGGCAACGCCGCAGCAGCACACCGTCGCATTTCCCTCAGTCCGACTTAATAAGATCCCTATGCGATTTACTTCCACACATGTAAATACCGACCCAAAAGCACAGAATATCTAGCTACGCAACAGAAGCCTCGTTACATGTAGGTCTCAAAAAATCAGATATTTTGATGCGGTAGTTTCACTACTACATAACAGAGGGCGATAAATTTAAAAGAAAATAGTTCTCTAGAAACGAAATTTAAAAGAATTTTACGCAGTGTTGCCATTGTGTAATTTATATTGTAATACTTCCTGATAAAGCCTACCTTCAAATTTGCTACATAATTTAAACATATTAAAATAGATTAGAGCTCTTTTTTCAAACGTTTAAGTATTTAACTTGCCATGTTAGTTGGAGTTAAATCTTACGAGCTGAATTAAAATCACTTCCTGACGTTTGATTCTAACTGAATCCTAAATTTTGATTGTAATTCGGCGACAATATAATAAGTATTGTTCTACTATTATGACTTCCTGACGTTCGTTTGTGTTCATACCGTATGATCGGGAAAAAACGGCGTTAGCGATGGCTATGAAATGAAAATCACTGTCATTTTATGTGTAAATTTATATGGGAAATGTCATCGATCGTCTTTTCCCAGCCAACTGGATGCCGTTTTTTTCGATATCATACGGTATTTGATATATACTTGCGTATTTTTCATGACATTGCAATATTATGGTACCATGAAGCATATCAAGTGATACCGTAATATAGTACCATATTACGATACATAGCGTTCGATTGGGCTTAAACTTGGTATATTACGTATCTTCAGTGACATTGTAATATTATGGTACCATGAAACATATCAAGAGGCACCATAATAGTACCATATACGATACCATTTCCTGGCGTTTGATTGGGCTTAACTTGGTATAGTAAGTATCTTCGGTGACATTGTAATATGATGGTACTATGATGCATCTACTATGATGCATATATAAAGTGGTACCTTAATATAGTACCATATTACGATACCACTTCCTGACGTTCGATTGGGCTCATATTTGATTATACTTGCGTATTTTTGATGACATTGCAATATTATGGTACCATGAAGCATATCAAGGGGTACCATAATGTAGTACCATATTACGATACCATTTCCTGGCGTTCGATTGGGCCCAAATTTGATATACTTGTGTTTCTTTATAAAGATTTGTTTAGTTAATATAATTTTAATTTATTTTCCGAATTTTAATTTATTGTACGATGTCGTGACAGCAACTTTTATGCCGAACTAATATATTATTAATTGTACCTGTGTCACTTTTGAAAATCTACCTAGGTCTATATAAATAACGTAGCAAACAGAAAAACATTGTTATTATAGTATTTTTTTACTCAATTAACATTTTTTGTACTGCATTTTAATAAATGATTTCCATTATTATTAAACGTATATTTCATTACTAACGTTTCAGCATTAATAAATATCACTATCAATCGCCCTGTATATTATTAATTTTAAAGGTAATTAAAGTTATTTTTTTAGTTAACATAATAAAGTAGTGTATATTAAAAATGTATTTTGAGAGCATATGTTTTCTAATAATATACTTAAAATTAAAGCTATTTTAAAAGCCAAACGAATAATTAATATAAGTGTATCTGACAAGAAACGAAGAATAGAAAGAAATTATTCTACACCAGAAAAAGAATGGGATGCCAATTAAAGTTTGTTTGAATCTGGCAACTGTGCATATTTAGCCGAGCTTTAAGGCCGTTGACGCGCCGTCGATCTACGTCTATCCAAAACCAAAGTTGAAAATTTCCAATTATATTCTGATTATGACATTGTCGCGCCATCTAGTATTTTATTTGTGCAATTTTAGCTCTTTCATTTCGAGTATTTTTCTGTTGCGTAGCTAGATATTCTGTGCCAAAAGTAACAGTTGCCAGCACGGTATATAATTATCTGCGTGATTAATCAGTATGTCAGTCACTTAAGGATTTTATATATTAGTAGAGATTTTTTCTTCCTTTCGATTTAGTATTCAGGTCAGGAGGAGATATGAATCCTTTATTGAATTTAATACTTCTGTTTCTTAAGTAAAGATATGATCACGTAATGATCAGAGATGAGCAAAACTGCGATTCTTCATTCGCAGTTGAAACTGTTGCTGCGATTTTTAAATTGCTGCCACTGTAATCTGCGATTGCTATTTTAATAATTAGTGTACTAGTTATATATAAATGTAATTTAAATATTGTACTAGGTATATAATAAGGGCTGGCAAAGGTTAGTCTTGGGTCGAGATTTCCGTATGTAAGAAGAGTATAAGGCGTTTATAATGTACTGAATAAAGAGAGAACAGTAAACACGTTGCCAAACGTATGAAATAAACCGAGAAACTGTGCGCATTGCTAAGAGACGTGGAAGGGATATTATAGCACTTATAGCAGATTTGTCGCAGTTAACCGGTCGACCTAATCAGTACCTCTGTCAGTACTTAAAGTTCTAAGGAAAGGTGCACATCATGCGTTCAGCTCACGATTTAATTACGTCTCGTGATACTTTATTTGTTTATTTATCAACGAGCCGTTGTAATTTTCCCTATAGCTTGAAAATTTTTAAGTGCAAGTTAGAAACACTTTTTGGTCAAAGTAAGTGGAATTGAGTTGGTGTTCGACAGTGGTCGCGCTATTAGCACTCTAAATTCAAAAATTGATATCTCGAAATCTATTAGAAATAATTGATTGTAGTTTCTTCAAAAACTTTCTTAACGTTTGTGCTATTTTCTTCGCAGACAGTCTGTGAAAACCTATATATAAAAAGTCACACGACTGCTGAAAATTGCTATTCACTAAAAGTATGGGTTGTTTAAAATTTTTGAATGTCATACAGTCCGACTTAATAAGATCCCTATGCAATTTACTTCCACACATGTAAATACCGACCCAAAAGTAACAGTTGCCAGCACGGTATATAATTATCTGCGTATGTATCAATAACTTGAAAGTTAAAGAAATGGTTTATGTATACATCTTTTATTGTCGTTCACAGCAATGATGAATAATCAGTTGTTTAGTTTTTATTTTTTTAACATCTGCGATACATATTGTAGGTTAGTAAAACTGTATATATGCTGCAACTGCTACAACTATACATACCTACCCTTTCTACGGTTCCCAATTATCTACTTCTTCCGTATTCTTTAAGAAACTAAAATAATTATATTTTTAAGGCAACATATTGCAACAGGTTTTTTTTTAAATTTCGAAAACCGTTTGAGTTAAAAAGCTCTAAATTTAGGTGATTTATTTTGATTCGACACCAAATCGATCCCCTGTCAAAAAAGCCGTGGGGCAGATTTCCCATATTAATCCAGCTATACCCTTTTTGAGATGGAGCTATACAAAATCCATATAAGTCGATCCTTTTCGTTCAACAGGTTTGAACTACACAAGCGTCAGAAGTGCTTCTTGATTGGTTGATTTATTTCATACTAACTAATAGTAGTTTTCTAAGTTTCTATCTACCACGCAAATCAATTTAGCGTCTGACTATTCGCGCCTTTACTTATAAATTTAAATTTAATCTCTGACATCTTTACACAAAAACAAGAAACGGATAGATATGATGAATATCTAAAATAACAGGTTCAAATAATGCCATTACCAATAAAAAAATATATATATTATACGTTATTAATATTTATAGTTTAAAATAGTGCGCGGGCAGGTGACAGCGTTCAGCGATGAAGTAGACGAATCAGATCGTTCTATTTGGTGCGTGCGCACGAAAATCGTGTTGAACCAAAAGGATAGACTTATGCAAGATTGATATTCCTATTTCTTTTCTTTGGCTTCACTTTCCACTCATTGTATAAATGCGGTACTAGCAATATATTCTTATATTTACCATAATCGTAAGTAAATATATGTATTTAATACTTACGGGAAGAATTTAAAAGCTTTGACAGTAAAACCGTTATCTGTAAAAGCCTTCTTGATATCTTCTTCGTTAACAGTTGCTGGAATGTTACTCAAGTGCAATGTGGCAGACGGCGGGTAAATGTTTTGATAGTTCTTGGATCCAGGTTTCTTGAACCTGAAAATTAAAAAAAAAACATTATTTTTCTCCTCTTACACATTAAACATATATATATATTTGGATCCTTTAAGTACCATTCTCGAAATTTTATATTTTTTAGATCTTTCTATATTCAAAATGAAATTAAGAATTTAGAACTCAATGTTCATATATATAACAATATCGAATTAAGAGAATGGACTGAAACTTATAAGATGAAATAAGATAAATGTTTTTTAGTGTTTACAATTTTAATAAAAATTAATCTATTGCAGCTGGACACTAATTTTATTCGATGAATTTGTAATTATTAAAATGTCTTCAGCAAAAATCTAAAATTGTGTTTGCAATCCTGCCTCTCTATATTGCTTTACGAATATATCTGATACTGACCTGTGGAGAGGACTCTGACTATAGTCCTTGGTGAGACCAGCATCAGGTTGACCTTCCTTGGGCATTTGTACTGTTTGATGTTTGCTCAACATTACGCGAATGTGCTTGCCGAAAACTTTCAGTTTGTCCATGTGTGTTATAGCTAAAAGACAAATCAGATAATTAAATATAATACAAAGACAATTAAATATAATACAAAAGGGAGTAAAATCAATTTAATATACAGGGTTGTTCACCACATACGACACGGAGTATTGTATCTAAATGATTAGATTTTTACAAATTGTAAGTTTTGGGTTCGTTGAAGGACTATTAGAGCTACAATTTAAAAATATTTTTACAAGATACAGAGTGTCCCAAATATGTAAAAAATATTATAGTTGTATTTTTTTAAATGGAACACCCTATATATTATTCAATTTTTAGATTCTACGAATGAAATAAAGGTAAATTTGATTAAGGTTTATCACACTTAAACCTTACCGTTTTTGAAATATTTTCAATTTTGTGAAATTGCAGTAAAAAATTTAAGGCTTCATTTCTCCAAGGGTATCAAAGTTTTTAATACTACATATTTACTGAAGATTATTTATTGATCAGATATTGTGTTGCGATAATAAAATTATACTTTCTTATACAGAGTGTCCAAAATTTATGTTAAATAATGACCAGCTTTAAACGGTGTAACTTGTTTAATTTAAATGGAACACCCTGTATATTTTACTTAATTCATATGCACTATTTAATTGTCTATCAAATTATATTATACCGTTTTTTACCTATCTCTTCAAGTTTTCGTAGAAAATGCCTTTTGTTATAATTTAGACCTCATTTATATTGACCTCTTATATTGACCTCTTATATTGACCTCTATATTGACCTTTATATTGACCTCTTATATTTTAGACGTCATTACCCATGGAATATTGACATTTTAGATTATTTTTAAAGATGTAACAAATTTTCAAAGAGTACAGATACTAATATTGTCGATATAGTTCGATTATTTCATTAAAAAATTTAAAAAAAATGTTTAAATATTATTTGTTAAAAAGGACCAATTAATATGTTCCTAGTATTCAGACTACATTAATTGACTGTTTACGTTGATTAATAATTGCTCCAAATACTAAAAAACTGAATTTTTTATGTGTATTAGACAGTATAAATTTTATTTTAATTTTTGACGAATGCTTATTTTTATAACAGAGACGTTCATTTTCGTAACTTATTATTATATTGATTTCTGAGTCCAATCCACATTTATTTAGAATAATATATTAATTAAAATAGTATGTAATTAACTAATTTTTGGGAGGAAATTATATTTAATAGGTATACTCTTTTACAAAGATTTAAATAGTTTTCTGTTTGTAACAAATGGGCTTGCAATATTATTATCTTTGAATAGTATTTTGTACATATATTACTTTAAAAAGATCTAAAATGTCAATATTCCATGGGTATAGTGATAAATGAGGTCTAAATTATAAAAAATGCTTTTTCTTCGAAAACTTGAAGAGATAGGTAAAAAATGGTATAGTACATATCATATAGATAGACAATTAAATAGTGCATATGAATTAAGTAAAATATACAGGGTGTTCCATTTAAATTAAACAAGTTACAGCCGTTTAAAGCTGGTCATTATTTAACATAAATTTTTGGACACTCTGTATAAGAAAGTATAATTTTTATTATCGCAACACAATATCTGATCAATAAATAATCTTCAGTAAATATGTAGTGTTAAAAACTTTGATACCCTTGGAGAAATGAAGCCTTAAATTTTTTACTGCAATTTCACAAAATTGAAAATATTTCAAAAACGGTAAAGTTTAAGTGTGATAAACCTTAATCAAATTTACCTTTATTTTAATCGTAGAATCTAAAAATAGAATAATATACAGGGTATTACATTTAAGAAAATAAAACTATAATATTTTTTACTTATTTGCGACACTCTGTATCTTTTAAAATTATTTTTAAATTGTAGCTCTAATGGTCTTTCAACGAACCCAAAACTTACAATTTGTAAAAATCTAACCGTTTAGCTACAATACTTTGTGTCGTATGTGGTGAACAACCCTGTATACTTTACTATTCAAAACTTGATTTGTTCCCGCATTTTTTCATCTGAATATACTATCTTAAAGTATACTATCTAAGTTGTCAATGTCATATTTGCAGAGCCTGATTTTTGTTACAACAAAATCATCTAGATGAATTGACTGAAGCCACACATGCTTAATTATCAGAATAATTATTAATTACATTTTATTTGATTTCACGTAATAGTATTAATCACATGCTTTTAAATAAATTGTAATTTCAAGTATACTCGTACAAGGTGGCCCAAACTGTATTCCGGAAACTTTGGCAGCATATTCTGCAGATAAAAACAAGTAAAAAAGTTCGTATAAATGTATGTGCTAAAATGCTTAGTTTCGGAGATACAGTGTGTAGAAGTTTCATTTTTATTTGGATTTTCTCCAAATAATTTCTGAACTAACGACGTTTATTAACATGAAAAATTTGATTTTGATGTCCATATGACTCCTATTTGTAGAGGGCGCCACCTATATTTTTTAACTGGTTTGAAGAGTAATAACTTTGCGTTCGTACCTGTATAGAACTATTGAGTAAAAAATATACATTTATGACGTTTTCATGTAAAAAAGATCTCTTGGTAAAAACCGCTACGAGTTAATGGTTCTCGAGATATTTGGAATCGAAATTATCAATACCTGTCATCATTGACATAAATTAAACATGTCCACTAAATAGTTATAAGATTGAAATCTTAAATTTGAAATGGTTTTGTGCCCAAAGTTTAACAGAAACTGTTTTATAATCATTTTTTCGAAGAAAAATTTATGATTAATTTAAAAAAATAAAATGTTCCCAAATTTATCATTTCAGTCAAATAACTATATACTCATGTTTATTTTTTCCTCAATGTATTGACTATTTCCATTCTAAATATCTTGAGAACGAAGTTATTATAATTGAAAATATTCTGAATTGAACGCCTTCGTTGATGACGTCAACAGATTTGTACGTCAGAGCTATTTGGCCTTGAATTAAGTTGGCCTTGATTTTATACAGTCAAAACTCGAAAATCGACATTTTGCTGATTGTCCAATCATTTATAATATTTTTTTATATACCTAAGATCGATTATCATATTTCTGTAATATAATAAATACCTACCTAAATGCGCCTGGTGAGGCTCAGCCAGTTGAACAAGTGCCGAATCTTTCTTGTTGTACAATATTTTCACTCGTTGTACATCTCCGTAAACGCCTAAAACCACACATTCTTATATAAGTTAATCAACTTTTTATAACAGTTTATGCGGAGCGATGGTGATGTCAAAATGTAAAATGGTAAAAAATGTGTAAAATAAAAGAGAAAAAATACTCAAAAATACAATAATAATATCTAATCAGTTAAAAACGGACGACGTTCTATATTCGAAAGAGAAAGAAAATCTGCAGACTCGAAAAAAAGAAATTAATACTAATAAATGATACAATAAAATAACATTAACGGAAATATCTTAAACACAAACATCATGCACAGCACAAAAATAGGAACACAAAAAGGCTACTCGACTGAATTGAGGAAAAAATAGATATACATTTTGAAAATTAATTGAATGACAAATGAGTCTAAGCGGTAAGCTTAATAAAAAAAGAAAAGTTCTAAATAAAAAACGATTGTATATATAAAACAAAAACAAATACAAACATAATGAAAAAGTACAAAATGATGTTAGAACAAATTCAATTTGCTTCTTTCTGACATATTCAATTTACTTTTACAAACAATGCTTTTAAAAACTTTCAAAAAGAAGTAAATGAATTTTATTTTCGATTCTTGTTATTTCAACGTTGTTATAATAGGTCGTTTTTTTTTAAATGTACTGTTTCAGATAAACTCTGCGTTATATATTTTTAATTATTTGATTTAATTTAACTTTTCTCGTTAGTTTTTGCTTTGATTGGGTTGGGAAGCAAGACCCTTTTTTTAAATAATGCTAACACATTATTTACAAGATGTCTTCTTCCTCTCAGATATCAGTCATATTTAACACTTAAGAAAAATATGGTAAAAAACAGGTTAGGTTAGGTTGCTGGGGTTTGGGATCCTGTTTGATCCCTCAGTCGGAGGCCTTGGGCCCATTGCGATACCCCTGTATTGTACCAAACCTTCATTTAATTGTTTCTTTGCGTTAAAGCACTTCCAGCTCTTTGCAAACTTCCCGATGTTGCTCCACCATTCTAGAGATTTGTTGGCCATCCATTGTTTTATAGTTATCCTGTGTTGATAAATTTAAATAAGTATACACATTTTCGGCTTTCTAGCCATTCAAAGCAAAAACTAATGACAGAGTAAATATGTTACTTAAATCAATTAATAATAAAATCATATATGATAAGGAGTGTAAAACCTTTTTTTGTTGATAGTTTAAAATTATTATTAATATAATTTTAACACTGTATTAATAAAAAAAATGTCTATACCTATGTGGCGGATTCATCTCTCCAAAAAAAAAAATCCTTTATGGGTATTTCGCCACTGCACTGCAAGAAAATTTACAAAATAAAATAGTTATTTTTTGTAAACACTTTAGCGTTAAACCTAAACGGACACTGCTTGTCAGAAGTTATGTTTACAGTTATACAAATTTGCTTAACCAAGAAAAAAATTAACGTTACGGAAAGTTTATCTCTTTCCGTCGTTGGAAGCAAAACAAAATACAAAGAATAAAGAAAAAAACTATTTAAAATATTTAAATTCAACTATTCGAGAACACTTATGTATGATTATTTTTAAATTTTACGTATGTTATGTTTATTTATGTTATATTCTTTAAAATCTCAAAGAAGCGATTGCCATACATTACTGAAATCTACAGATGCATGAACAATACATTTATTTGTATTAGATTGAATTAAAAAAGTCTCTTTTATTTTTCTTTTAGAGGCTATCGCTTATTCTGGGACACAGGGCACAGAATAAATTTTAATAACGCCAAAATTATAATGAAAGAAGCGATAGTCTCTAAAAGAAAAATAAAAGAGGCTTTTTTAATTCAATCTAATAAAAATAAATGTATTGCTCATGCATCTGTAGATGTTAGTAATGTATGGTAATCGCTTCTTTGATTTTAAAGAACATAACATAAATAAACATAACATACGTAAAATTTAAAAATAATTATATAGAAAGTTGGGCCTTTTTGGTTTTACCTTATTAAGTAATTGTTATCAGGTAGTAATTGTTAATTTTGAAGTTTAACTTATATAGTGTCATTTTAACAGAACGTCAACGGTTTCTTGTTGAGGTATCTATTTTAAAAAAGTAAAGTGTTCTCGAATAGTTGAATTTAAATATTTTAAATAGTTTTTTTCTTTATTCTTTGTATTTTTTTTGCTTCCGACGACGGAAAGAGATAAACTTTCCGAAACGTTAAGCATTTTTTTCTTTGTTAGGCAAATTTGGAGAACTGTAAACATAAATTCTGACAAGCAGTGTCCAGTGTGTGTTTAGGTTTAACGCAGAAGTGTTTACAAAAAATAATTATTTTATTTCGTAGATTTTCTTGCAGTGCAGTGACGAAATACCCATAAAGGATTTTTTTTGGAGAGACTGTATTAATATTTTTAATGTTTTGGTAAGAATACTGAAATAACAAAATTCGAAATTTTGTAAAAATGAATACGATATAATTAAGTGTGAAAACATACCAAATAGTGTAAAGAGAGCGTCAGGCGTGACCATCTACGATAGAAAAAGATGACAGGAGGATGTGACGTGGCACAGAGAGGTAGGCGGTTTAATGCCGCCGGAAGGGGCAGCAAATATAAAAAAGAAAAACAGCATATTAGAATTGTCAGTTTTTACTTTGTACCTAATCTATCTAAAAATGGGGTTTCCTTTTACGCTGCTATTCAAAAATCGCCTGTTCTCGAAGTTTTACGTTTATTTTGGGTCGAATTATTTCTAGCAATTATTATCACAAGGCCATCAAAGTGGGTGAGCGTCAAATTCAACTGGTTGAATACAATTTGGAATCGATTTAATCCCAAATCGATTAAAAAGAGATTAAAAAGAGCTATTGCAGTTTTCTCAAATATTCAAAAGAAAAATTCGTTAAGATTAATATAATAAAGATACATATTTTTTCCATAGCAACTGTTAAAATTGTCTTATATCTATCAAAAATCGTAGATAAAATAGTACTTTAACCCCAAGGATAGATAAATGATTCTTTAACAGCGAGGATAGGTTAAAAACTTTATTTCTTCTCGCACGTCTTTTAATTGCTTCCATTTTTGAAAATTTTTTTTGAAAAAAAAAAGTTATTCGGGATTTAAATGGAAGTAGTTTGGATATGGCGTTCGACACGAAAGAGAATTAAAAAATATTGACTCAAAACTGACAACTAAAGAGACAGCTTTATTTATTTGTCAAATTACATAGAAAAAAACGCCGACCCAGCACAATATTTCTTCTACTCGTAATAAATTCCTTGAAATAATAATTCCTGAATATTTTTTAAAACGTAACTCGCTATGGAAAAAATTGTTTTATACACGACGATAAAATTTCATTATCATCTCCCGAAATTAATCTTTTAGGACGACGATAAAATACCATTTTATCGTCTTGTATAAAAAATAACTTTTAATTTTCTATGTTACCCATTAAACGATTAGTTTATTTCTCTAGAATTTATATCCAATTTCATGTTTACAAGTTGGTGTATAACATTTTTGCCAACTTATTTGTTTTTTAATACAATTTACTTCCATCATTAAACACGTATAAGATTTGTCTGTTTTTTCTAATGACAAATTTACATTTCTGTGAGTTAGATGCAAAGTGGATAAATCTTGAATGAAATTGTGTGAGGATTATTGTGAATTTGAAAAATTAACTTCAAAAATAGTTACTTGTGTAGCATTTGATAGTTCAAAGAGTGAAATTATGTACGGAACAAATAAGTAATTATAGAGGGTGTTTCAAAAAACACTAGCCATCTCTCGTGGGGGGCTTCCTCTCGTAAAAATTAGATTCATATCAACATATATGTTTTGTTTTGTAGCTGCAAGGGATTCAAATATTCTTCATTTTTTTTTATTTATTATAATTTTCTCCACAAGAGATAGAACATGTTTTTTGAAACACCCTGTATAGGAACAAGTAGAAATTAACTAATTCAGAAATTCTTTTCGTGTTAACTATATTTATATTCTAGAGCATTTATAACTACATGTCATGGATAATATCAATTTTGTAAGTTTTTAGCGTTTATTTAGAGTATTTATATATTTTTGATAAATTTCTGTAATTACACTAATTTGTTTATTTTTATTAGAACTATTTTTACAATGAATTGATTGACTCAAAGTTAAACAGCAATAGAGCAACTTATTCAGTGTAATACAATTTATATTTTACTAATTTAAAAAAATCTGGAATATATCATCTTAATTTAGCCTTTTATTCAATTATTTGAACGTTATTTAAAATGATTTTACAAGCAAAAACACACAAAACCGAAGACTCTTGACTAAATTTAAGACTCGTTATATTTTTAACGCAGCATCTCATTTTTTATTTGTTTTATTTAAAAACATTTACACCTGATTGAAAATCTTTAAAATTTATTACTATATTCCCTTAAGAGTAATAAAATGCGATGCATAATATAAGAGATTGTGTTGCGATTAAACAATTTATAAATTTTTAGATTTAGTTCTAATTTTCCCAAAATTAAGTTTTCCACGTTAGAATTATAAGGAACGGCGAATAATATATTACAAAATTATGCTGGAAAATGTGGATTAGTTGTCTAAATCACTGCCGCCAAAATGTTTATTATAATAAAATCTTCAATACCTAGCATCTATAATTTCTGCAAATATTACAAAACAAAATTATTGAAAACTACAAAAAATTCTAAATTACCAGAAAAAAAACGAAGAATTACCAGTTGAACCCACTATAGATGAACTTGTTTAAAATACTGACCAATTAAAGCAATATCTCTCTAAGAAAATAAACGTAAAATTCAAGTAAATATCTAACTATAAACTAGTCAAAATTTTGAAAATCTAATCTAATTAACTATGTATCTCTATTTATTGTTAAAGTGTAAAGATATGATTTGATAATTTAAGAATGATAATGTTCTATTTACATTACCTCTTGACTATTAATAACCATCCAGTACACGCTACTGTTATTAGTTTAGTCAAGATACGTAAACAGTTTAATGGGGTAGGTTTCGTGATTCAAATATGTCTAGTGTCACATTTCAAAATATTGATTTTCAAGTTAGATTGTTAAGATTACTTAAATACATTAAGCAAGTTTTTACATTGCTTCTATAGTTCAAAATTGTCAATATAATATAATCTGAAATGAAATTTGTTCAATGAAGTTGAAAAAGAGTTTGTATATGTTGAGGCAGATGCCGAATTCGGCCAATGTCCGAAATAATTAGACATATATGGCGATTTGTCCATACTAAACTTGCCAGATGTCTTTATATAACTTCTTTGTGGAGGGGGTTAATCTTTTTTTGGTATAATATAACAATAAAAGATTAACACCCTCCGCATATAAGTTGAAACCAATGCAATCAAAACTCTTCCGCGTAACTTTGTGGATATAGGTAGGTATATTTAATTATAATCGCCATATATTATGTCTAATTATTTCGGACATAGGCCGAATTCGCCATCTGCCTCCAACATATACATACTATTCAGTAATATTTAAAAAAGAAATTGATAATAACAACGGTTCTATTTAATTTTAGGTACAATTTTTTGAAATTGACAGTCTATGTGTTCAAATTTGGTTTGATATTGAAATTATGGCTAATTATGGATATTGAATTTGGCTTGATATATAGATTATTGAAATTTGGCTTCAATAGAGCAACAAGAAGATGTCAAGTTTTAACTTTTACTTTTTTCCAAAAAAAAATGTAGTACCAAATATTTACGAAAAAAATTATGTTGGAGATGAAAAATGTAATGTGACTTATACTTCAGAAACTTAATTTGCCATTTATTTTCTTTTATTACAGCTAGCTGTGATATCAACTAAGGTACGTCTTCATACTGGGCGCGTCTAAAAAGTGGCTCACCCCTATAACTTTTTTATTTTTTCAGATAAAAACGAGATTTGGTACGTTAGGTTAGGTTCTATGTATTGTTTTTGGTCACTTCCTGTGTCACCGGAAATAATACGGACACTCTGAATAGAATTTACATATCATATGTCAAATTTTGACATTTTCGCTTTAAAAAAATTGTATTTTAAATTTCATACAAATTTTTCAAACACCAATTTTCAATCAAGGAGCTTTGGAAAAATATATTTGATCGTCTAATGTTTTTCGTGTCATGTTCTGACCGGCTAAAAGATGCCCAAATCGTGGTGGCTCATTAGCATATTTGGTAAAAAATATTTTTTTACGAATAATTTGATACCACACACTTGGTATTTCGAGTAAAATTGTCGTTATGAACCGCATGTTACAATTTTAAATAAAACATATGCGAAAATGTCAAAAGTTGACTTTGATGATATGTCATTCTATTCAGAGTGTAATTTTCAAACGAATAAAATTAAAAAAATCGAGAGTGCCATTTAAAAATCAAAAGTTGTAGTAATTTCCGGTGACACAGGAAGTGACCAAAAAACAATTGAATACGTCAATCAATCCTAATTTATGTCATATACTAACATACCAAGTTTCGTTTTTTATCTGAGAAAATAAAAAAGTTATAGGGGTGAGCCACTTTCGAGACGCACCCGGTATACTTTAATGTTGGATCTTCTGAATTTAATATCATAAAAATATTCAAAAGTGAAACTTAATGAAAAGGATTCTAAATAAAAACGATTATATATAAAACCAAAAACCATTAGATTCCTCTATTAAACCAGCTATGCAGAGGTACTGTTTAGACAACATTATTTAAAAAGTTTATTTTATTTATATTCAAATTTTTTACAAAATATATTTTTTTAGGTTTAAAAAATATTGACTTTTGTTTTGTTTGAATTGTTTTGAAATTGGTTTGTTAGTTGTTGGTTTTTAAATATTCACTATTTCAAGATAAATAACGTTGGCTGTTTTTATTATTTGATTTAATTTAACTTTTCTTGTTAGTTTTTGCTTTGATTGGGTTGGGAAGCAAGACACTTTTTTAAATAATGCTAACACATTATTTACAAGATGTCTTCTTCCTCTCAGATATCAGTCATGTTTAACACTTAAGAAAAATATGGTAAAAAACAGGTTAGGTTAGGTTAGGTTGCTGGGGTTTGGGATCCTGTTTGATCCCTCACTCGGAGGCCTTGGGCCCATTGCGATACCCCTGTATTGTACCAAACCTTCATTTAATTGTTTCTTTGCGTTAAAGCACTTCCAGCTCTTTGCAAACTTCCCGATGTTGCTCCAACATTCTAGAGATTTGTTGGCCATCCATTGTTTTATAATTATTCAGTGTTGATAAATTTAAATAAGTATACAAATTTTCGGCTTTCTAGCCATTCAAAGCAAAAACTAATGACAGAGTACATATGTTACTTAAATCAATTAATAATAAAATCATATATGATAAGGAGTGTAAAAACTTTTTTTGTTGATAGTTTAAAATTATTATTAATATAATTTTAACACTGTATTAATAAAAAAATGTCTATACCTATGTGGCGGATTCATCTCTCCAAAAAAAATCCTTTATGGGTATTTCGCCACTGCACTGCAAGAAAATTTACAAAATAAAATAGTTATTTTTTGTAAACACTTTTGCGTTAAGCCTAAACGGACACTGCTTGTCAGAAGTTATGTTTACAGTTATACAAATTTGCTTAACCAAGAAAAAAATTAACGTTTCGGAAAGTTTATCTCTTTCCGTCGTCGGAAGCAAAACAAAATACAAAGAATAAAGAAAAAAACTATTTAAAATATTTAAATTCAACTATTCGAGAACACTTATGTATGATTATTTTTAAATTTTACGTATGTTATGTTTATGTATGTTATATTCTTTAAAATCAAAGAAGCGATTGCCGTACATTACTGACATCTACAGATGCATGAGCAATACATTTATTTGTATTAGATTGAATTAAAAAAGTCTCTTTTATTTTTCTTTTAGAGGCTATCGCTTATTCTGGGACACAGGGCACAGAATAAATTTTAATAACGCCAAAATTATAATTAAAGAAGCGATAGTCTCTAAAAGAAAAATAAAAGAGGCTTTTTTAATTCAATCTAATAAAAATAAATGTATTGCTCATGCATGTGTAGATGTTAGTAATGTATGGCAATCGCTTCATTGATTTTAAAGAACATAACATAAATAAACATAACATACGTAAAATTTAAAAATAATTATATAGAAAGTTGGGCCTTTTTGGTTTTACCTTATTAAGTAATTGTTATCAGGTAGTAATTGTTAATTTTGAAGTTTAACTTATATAGTGTCATTTTAACAGAACGTCAACGGTTTTCTTGTTGAGGTATCTATTTTAAAAAAGTAAAGTGTTCTCGAATAGTTGAATTTAAATATTTTAAATAGTTTTTTTCTTTATTCTTTGTATTTTTTTTGCTTCCGACGACGGAAAGAGATAAACTTTCCGAAACGTTAAGCATTTTTTTCTTTGTTAGGCAAATTTGGAGAACTGTAAACATAAATTCTGACAAGCAGTGTCCAGTGTGTGTTTAGGTTTAACGCAGAAGTGTTTACAAAAAATAATTATTTTATTTCGTAGATTTTCTTGCAGTGCAGTGACGAAATACCCATAAAGGATTTTTTTTGGAGAGACTGTATTAATATTTTTAATGTTTTGGTAAGAATACTGAAATAACAAAATTCGAAATTTTGTAAAAATGAATACGATATAATTAAGTGTGAAAACATACCAAATAGTGTAAAGAGAGCGTCAGGCGTGACCATCTACGATAGAAAAAGATGACAGGAGGATGTGACGTGGCACAGAGAGGTAGGCGGTTTAATGCCGCCGGAAGGGGCAGCAAATATAAAAAAGAAAAACAGCATATTAGAATTGTCAGTTTTTACTTTGTACCTAATCTATCTAAAAATGGGGTTTCCTTTTACGCTGCTATTCAAAAATCGCCTGTTCTCGAAGTTTTACGTTTATTTTGGGTCGAATTATTTCTAGCAATTATTATCACAAGCTCATCAAAGTGGGTGAGCGTCAAATTCAACTGGTTGAATACAATTTGGAATCGACTTAATCCCAAATCGATTAAAAAGAGATTAAAAAGAGCTATTGCAGTTTTCTCAAATATTCAAAAGAAAAATTCGTTTAAGAATTAATATAATAAAGATATATATTTTTTTCCCATAGCAACTGTTAAAATTGTCTTATATCTATCAAAAATAGTAGATAAAATAGTACTTTAACCCCAAGGATAGATAAATGATTCTTTAACAGCGAGGATAGGTTAGAAACTTTATTTCTTCTCTCACGTCTTTTAATTGCTTCCATTTTTGAAAATTTTTGTATTCCTTTTCATAAGTTATTCGGGATTTAAATGGAAGTAGTTTGGATATGGCGTTTTTCGCCTCAACCTGAATATCTGTTGATAATTTACTTATTTTGTTTTGAGCCATTTCTGGCTCCAATTCAATCAGCAATCGACACGAAAGACTATTAAAAAATATTGACTCAAAACTGACAACTAAAGAGACAGCTTTATTTATTTGTCAAATTACATAGAAACCAACTACTGCATAGAAATTACATAGAAATACTCGTAATAAATTCATTGAAATAATAATTCCTGAATATTTTTTAAAACGTAACTCGCTATGGAAAAAATTGTTTTATACACGACGATAAAATTTCATTATCATCTCCCGAAATTAATTCACTCGCGATTTCATCGCTCGTCGAATCAAACCAAACCAAACTTTTAGGTCGACGATAAAATACCATTTTATCGTCTTGTATAAAAAATAACTTTTAATTTTCTATGTTACCCATTAAACGATTAGTTTATTTCTCTAGAATTTATACCCTACATATTTCATGTTTACAAGTTGGTGTATAACATTTTTGTCAACTTATTTGGTTTTTAATACAATTTTCTTCCATCATTAAAACCGTATTTGTCTGTTTTTTTCTAATGACAAATTTACATTTCTGTGAGTTAGATGCAAAGTGTATAAATCTTGAACGAAATTGTGTCAGGATTTGAATTATAGTGAGATTATTGTGAATTTGAAAAAAAAAACTTCAAAAATAGTTACTTGTGTAGCATTTGATAGTTCAAAGAGTGAAATTATGTATGGAAAAAGTAAGTAATTATACAGGGTGTTTCAAAAAACACGAGCCATCTCTCGTGGGGGGATTCCTATCGTAAAAATAAGATTTATTTTTCATATCAACACATATGCTTTGTTTTGTAGCTGCAAGGGATTCAAAAATTCTTCATTTTTTTGGATTTATTATAATTTTCTCCACAATAGATTGAACATGTTTTTTGAAACACCCTGTATAGGAACAAGTAGAAATTAACTAATTTAGAAATTCGTTTCGTGTTAACTATGTTTATAATCTCGCTATAACTACTTGTCAAGGATAATTAGGACATATCAATTTTTTATTTTTTTAGCGTTTATTTAGAGTATTAATTTATAAATTTTTGATAAAATTTATTTTTATTATGCAATGAATTTATTGACTCAAAGTTAAACAGCAACAGAGCAACTTATTCAGTGTAATGCAATTTATATTTTACTAATTTAAAAAAATCGAATTTTCATTCATTAACTGGAATATATAATCTTAATTTAGCCTTTTATTCAATTATTATTTGAACTTTATTTAAAAATGATTTTACAAGTAGAGCCACACAAAACCGAATACTATTAACTAAAAAATTTAAGACTCGTTATATTTCTAACGCACCATCCCATTTTTTATTTGTTTTATTTAAAAACATTTACATCTGTACTCTTCTGATTGAAAATCTTATTACTATATTCACTTAAGAGTATTAAAATGCGATGCATAATATAAGACTTTGTGTTGCGATTAAATAATTATTTATAAAGTTTTAGATAGTAAACATACTACTTAGTTAACTGCTAAAATCAAGTTCTAATTTTCCCAAAATTAAGTTTTCCATATTAGAATTATAAGAAACGGCGAATGCTATATTACAAAATTATGCTGAAAAATGTGGATTAATAATTGTCTAAATTACTGCCGCCAAAATGTTTATTGTAATAAAATCTTCAATACCTGGCATACAGGGTGTTTCAAAACAAATGCGAAAAACTTCAGGGGGTGATTCCTTGTTCAAAATAAAGGGTAGTTTGCTTTATAAACGTTGGGTCAAAAATCAACCATTAGGGAGATATCAGAAAGATGGCGGAAAAAAATAGTTTTTATTTTTATCTTTGAAAACGAAACGATAGACTAATGAAATTTTATGGAAGTTGTTATGAAAACATATTTTCTGGTAATTTCTCACTTTTAAAATGAGTGGAAGGGGTTGAAATAAACTACCCTTATAATTCTTGTTAACAGAAATTTAAAAATCTTATCAAACACATGCAAAAATTAATTTGGATAGCTTGGTTTATTTAGAAACTTTTATCTCTTGTGTTTCTTTGATAAAACTCGCCGATTTGAAATTAAAAAATAAAAGGTAAAGCATTACATGTCAGGATAAAAAACATTTTTAGATAAAGAATCTAGTGATAATAGCGATAATAATAAGAATCTAGATAATAATGTACTGCAGCAGAGTAATGTCGATAAAATAATATTAGAAACATCCTAAAAAGTGACAGCGGCCTACTAGATTTTTTCCTAAAAAAATTAGAGCAGCCCACTAGATTCTTTATCTAAAAACGTCTTTTGTCCTGACATGTAATGCTTTACATTTTATTTTTTAATTTCAAATCGGTGAGTTTTATCAAAAAAACACGAGAGATAAAAAAGTTTCTAAACAAACCAAGCTATCCAAATTAATTTTACATGTGTTTGATAAGATTTTTCTTTAAATTTCGTTAACAAGAATGATAGGGTAGTTTATTTCAACCCCTTCCACTCATTTTAAAAAGTGAAAAAAATTACTAGAAAGTGTGTTTTCATAACAGAAAAATGCTCCATAAAATTCGATTAGTCTATCTCTTTCGTTTTCAAGATAAAAATAAAAACTTTATTTTTCCGCCATCTTCAATACCGCGATATCTCCCTAATGGTTGAGTTTTGACCCAACGTTTATGAACAAACCTACCCTGAACAACAAGAAATCGCCTGCTGAAGTTTTTCGCATTTGTTTTGAAACACCCTGTATATAATTTCTTCATATATTACAAAACAAAATTATTGAAAACTACAAAATATTCTGAATTGGCAGAAAAAAACGAAGAATTACCAGTTGAACCTCTAAATTTGTGTGACACCTATATATTACTATAGATGAACTTGTTTAAAATACTGACCAATTAAAGCAATATCTCTCTAAGAAAATAAACGTAAAATTCAAGTAAATATCTAACTATAAACTAGTCAAAATTTTGAAAATCTAATCTAACTAACTATGTATCTCTATTGTTAAAGTGTAAAGATATGATTTGATAATTTAAGAATGATAAATGTTCTATTTACATTTCCTCTTGACTATTATTAACCATCCAGTTCACGCTACTGTTATTAGTTTAGTCAAGATACGTAAACAGTTTAATGGGGTAGGTTTCGTGATTCAAATATGTCTAGTGTCACATTTCAAAATATTGATTTTCAAGTTAGATAGTTAAGATTACTTAAATACATTAAGCAAGTTTTTACATTGCTTCTATAGTTCAAAATTGTCAATATAATATAATCTTAAATCAAATTTGTTCAATGAAGTTGAAAAAGAGTTTGTATATGTTGAGGCAGATGCCGAATTCGGCCAATGTCCGAAATAATTAGACATATGGCGATTTGTCCATACTAAACTTGCCAGATGCGTGCAACTTCGTGGTTATAAATAGTCTTTATATAACTTCTTTGCGGAGGGGGTTAATCTTTTTTTGGTATAATATAACAATAAAAGATTAACACCCTCCGCATAGAAGTTGAAACCAATGCAATGAAAACTCTTCCGCGTAACTTTGCGGATATAGGTAGGTATATTTAATTATAATCGCCATATATGTCTAATTATTTCGGACATAGGCCGAATTCGGCATCTGCCTCCAACATATACATACTATTCAGTAATATTAAAAAAAGAAATTGATAATAACAACGGTTCTATTTAATTTTAGGTACAATTTTTTGAAATTGACAGTCCATGTGTTCAAATTTGGCTTGATATTGAAATTATGGCTAATTATGGATATTGAATTTGGCTTGATATAAAGATCATTGAAATTTGGATTGAATAGAGCAACAAGAAGATTCAAGTTTTAACTTTAAATTTTTTCCAAAAAAAATGTAGTACCAAATATTTAAGAAAAACATCTATGTTGGTGATACAAAATGTAATGTAACTTATACTTCAGAAACTTAATTTGCCATTTATTTTCTTTTATTACAGCTAGCTGTGATATCAACTAAGGTACGTCTTCATACTGGGCGCGTCTAAAAAGTGGCTCACCCCTATAACTTTTTAATTTTTTCATATAAAAAACGAGATTTGGTATGTTGGGTTAGGTTGTATGTATTGTTTTTGGTCACTTCCTGTGTTACCGAAAATGACTACAACTTTAGATTTTTAAATGGCATCCTCGGTATATTTATACTTTATTCGATAGAAAATTACATTCTGAATAGAATTACATATCATATTCAAGTTTTGATATTTTCGCTTTAAAAAAAACCAAACACTAATTTTTAATTAAGGAGCTTTGGAAAAATAGATTTGATCGTCTAATGTTTAGACGACATTACGACCATTAGCATATTTGGAAAAATATATTTTTACGAATAATTTGATACCACACGCTTGGTATTTCGAGTCAAATTGTTGTTATGAACCGCATGTTACAATTTCAAATAAAACATGTCGAAAATGTCAAAAGTTGACTTATGATATGTCATTCTATTCAGAGTGTCATTTTCAAACGAATAAAATAAAAAAATCGAGAGTGCCATTTAAAAATCAAAAAGTTGTAGTAATTTCGGTGACACAGGAAGTGACCAAAAACAATTGAATGTCAATCAATCCTAATTTATGTCATATACTAACATACCAAGTTTCGTTTTTTATCTGAGAAAATAAAAAAGTTATAGGGGGTGAGCCACTTTCGAGACGCACCCGGTATACTTTAATGTTGGATCTTCTGAATTTAATATCATAAAAATATTATTTTTTCTATTAGTACGAGAGCTAGCAACGTCGGAAAAACAAGTATTTTAAGACGTCTGGCTCTTTGATATATCTTTTACTATGCTCTCTAGAACAGCATGCGCCCGTCTGGCCGATTTGTGTTGCAGCCTCTACTGCGATACTGAAAGACGGCCCGTCTGGCTGACGGTAAGCGTTGCGTTCCTACTGCGCAGTGACACTGAGATCCTATACTTTGTTAGTCACTTTTTTATCCTAGTCAGGGCAAAGAAGTTTTTTTCTTATTTTCAAGTCTCGATAGAAAAGTATTAAATAACGGGCTGATGATTAAAAAAACAAATATTTAATACTTTACTATTAGAATATAAACTGAAAATAAAATTAGAAAGTCGTTGCCCTGACCCGGTTCAACTTCTGAATCATCGGTTCGCGGTGGGAAACTCCCCACGCACTGCGCTAAGGAGACATGCTCGATTTATATTCATACTAGAATTTATAAGACTAAATTAATAAAAAATACAGGATCTTCTTCCGATGCGCAGTAGTGAACGCAATGGGTATCGGCAGCCAGACGGGGCGCATGCAGTTCCAGAGAGCATAGTAAAAGATATATCAAAGAGCCAGACGTCTTAAAATACTTTCTCAAAAACGTTGCTAGCTATTAGACTATATGCACATTATATTTTTAACTATTTGACTTAGACAGTTGGAATTCATTAACGAGTAACTTGAAAATGTACGAGAATATTATTTTATATAATACAGTGATACTAATACAGGAAAAATATGTAAATGCAAGATCCTACCCCATCGAAGAACGGTTAAAGAAAAAGTTATTTATGCATATAATGATAGAGTTAACCAAAATAACTTAAAGCTTATAGCCACAAAGGATGGACTGTATATACATTCATTCGATTCAAAATCGGTTTACTGAAAAATATACACCCAAAAGAGAGGATGTACGGATTCTGTTTTAAGAAATAAGTTTTAGCAGTTATAATTATTAAAAAAACATGAAATTGATTGGTAGTTTATGTCGCCTCCTTCCTCTCTTTAGGTTCCAGGAAGATTTTAGACTTTGGATGAATTGATCTCTGGAAAAAATAACTAGTCATGTGTGTATATCGTCTTCTATAAAAATACCAACTTCTAAATAAAACACAAAACTTCGGTTTGGTTTTCAAAAAGTACTAGAATTACATGTCTAAATGGCTACGTTACCCCATAACTATTATAACAGAGGCCCTGTTTAAGACAGTGGTGATAATAGCGCCTTTAATATATTCTTCTTTTGAGTTTTGGTAGGTTTTAGTCTAAATACCGATTTTTTTTATTTATGTAGACATTTTCAAAAAATAATTAAGTTAAATTTTTAAAACTCCACAGGCAGATTTTCTGACTAGAATAAAATTGTGTTTTTGAGAAAACAATTATTTCATCACGTAAAAAGCGTCATACAGGGTGGGCCACTGAAAACTTACAATGGCTATAATTTTTAAACCAAAAAAGATATCAAAAAAATAAAAAATACCGTTTCTATAATATCGAGGGGGAATACATATGACGTATTTTTGAACCACCCCGACCTGGCTTCCCTAAGGCAGAAACACTATCACTTGAAAATCTTAAATGACAACACCTACTTTATGGCGCCCATTTTCAGCCCATGAAATGCTAAACGATGATCATAAAGCTTTTAGGGTGGGGGTGAAAAACTAGCCCTCACACGAAAAATTAGGTAGACTATTGAGATAAGTGATTTTCTCAGCAGAAAGTTACAATTGGGACCCAGCTAAATGAGTTTTTTTTCAAACTATTTCGACCTGCCCCTAGGTGCCATTTCCTCACTTCTAACCTCAAGATAAAGGATACCCCACTTGTGACACCTCTTTGAAAGCGTATAAAAAATGCTGAACGACTGTCATCATAAAAAGAACGAAAAAAATAGAGCCTAAAAATAAAACAAAAATGTCAAAACGTGTCAAAATCAATAGAATGAATTATTTTTGTATCCATGAACCATTGCGAGAAAAAAAGCTGGTACAAAGAGAAATTTATTATAACTCTTAATGAAGACGTCATACACTGTCAGCAAAGATGGAGCTCCTTTGCATTATTCTATTGTCACAAGTGGTGGTTGGATAAATATTATCCAAGGCAATGGATTGGCAGAAGGGGTCTAATCGAGTGGCCGCCAGGTCACCTGATCTTACTCCTTTAGGACTTTTCCTTGTGGGGTTACACTCAACCATAGTCTACAAAGACAAAACTAGGTTCGTTGTAAGAATTGGTGGCAGAGGAGAACTGAAGCATGTCAAAATATTCCGAGGGGAGACTTTCCAAAAGTGAGAAAGAATTTGAAAATCGTTGTATTTTTGTATGGAACAAACGGCTGTCATTTTGAGCAATTATTAAAATAAATTATCATTTTAAATTTCTTTTTCAAAGTCTGTATGACCATCTTTTAGCAATTTCAAATTAGCTTTCCAAAGAAGTGTCACAAGTGGGGGTATCGCTATCTCTGAGATTAGAAGTCAGGGGTGCTACCTAGGTGGGCTGGCGTGGCTTGAAAATACTTCATTTGCGTCATTTAGCTGGTCCCCAATTTGCTAACTTATGCTGAAAAAATCACCTTTTTCATTAATGTCCACCTAATTGTTCGTGGTAGTTTTTCAATTTCACCCTAAAACTTTTATGATCATTTAGCATTTTTCATGAGCTTTCCAAAAGACATTAAAGTGGGGCGTTGCCATTAAGATTTTCAAATGAGTAGGGGTACCTCCTTAAAAACAACAAAAATATATTTTTTAGCCTTAATTTAAAAAAAAAAACACTATTAAAATACAAGAAATGACAACTTATAGGTACTAGGAATTTACTATAGTTGGTCTGTACTTACTTTCCTATAAATATCGTAAATTTAACCTAACCATACAGGGTCTACAAAATTTTATGCGAAACTTTCTAAAATATAAAATAGTTTTTCTTCGTTTTTTTTAATTGAAACATCTTATATATTTTTTGTTAGATGGAGAATTAAAAAATGAACATTTTTTGTACTTAATTATTTCAAAATTTGTAACGGATTTGCGGATATTCGTAATACTCGTATGCGGATTTTTCAACAGCATTTTTTTTTATAAAAGCTACTTAATAATTTTTGTCTGGTATTTTACCGTTGAAAGAGCCATGCCATATATGTAATAAATATGCGAATATTTGCAAAACCGTGAAACATTTTAAAATACTTTAAATATAAAAGAAAATCATTTTTTAATTCTTCATATAACAAAGAAATAATATATACAGTGTTCCATTTAAAAAATCGGTTTAAGATTACGGTATTTACGTAAAATAATTTAAGAAAAGTAAGTACAGACCAACTATAGTAATAATATTATTTCAGAACATTTCTTATATTTTTTAAAGAGACTGCAATAATATTTTTTTCCATAGCAACTGTTAAAATTCCCTTACATCTATCAAAAATAGTAGACAAAATAGTACTTTAACCGCAAGGGTAGATTAAATGATACTTTAACAGCGAGTATAGGTTAAAAACTTTATCTCTTCTCGCACGTTTTTTAATTGCTTCGATTTTTGAAAATTTTTGTATTCCTTTTCATAAGTTATTCGGGATTTAAATGGAAGTAGTTTGGATATGGCGTTTGTCGCCTCAGCCTGAATATCTGTTGGTAATTTACTTATTTCGTTTTGAGCCATTTCTGGCTTCAATTCAATCAGCAATCGACACGTTGCAAAGATTACTTCTATTTTTATGATCGACGCAATCGTCACCACTGTTGTCAACAGCCAACGCAACTAGAACTACTTTTACACCGCTAATCGTGCTGACCTCTTCGTTCAAGTTGCTGACCAGCAGGACCGTAGCGAGGGATAGGCCGGGTGCGGCTAGTCCGCGCAGTCCTGGGGCGGTTTGACTGAGGGCGGCAAAGCCACTCAATCCGGGAATGGCGCCGGCCACGCCGCCCGCGTACGGGGCGGCTAGAGGTGAGCCCAGTCCGTGCATGAAGGGCCCGTTTAGGACGCCTGGAGCGCCGGCTAGTATAGAATCTGAAAAATAAATTAAAGGTATATATGTTACTGTAAATGTCCGAAATGCGGTAAAACCTAGGATAAGCGCGCTAAACATAGGATTTACCAAAAGCATGTGTGTCCCAAACCCGAAAAACCAACTAACCAATAAATTAACACCCTCCAAAAAACAACGCTAACCAACTCGCCAAATAACTAAACTAATCCAACCAAAAAGAGTGAAACCAATGCAATCAAATCACAATATAAGCAAAAAAAAATCGAATAAAATTAATTTTTGGGGTTTGGGAAATATTCCTTGGTTTAGCGCGTTTATCCTAGGTTTTAGCGCATTTCGGACATATACAATTCTAGGATGATTCTAAAAATTCCATATGGACTATATCGGGTAGATTGATTTTTGACCAGAGAAATCTTCAATCTGGGTAATTCTATTATACTATATATTTTTTTTAATTCTATAATAAAATTTCTTTTGTTTTCGTAAATACGTATTATTATCAAATTTTACAGTAAGGAATAGTTATATTCCGTTTTTTTTTTCAGGTAAGATTTCGACAGACGATGACAGAAGAAAAGCAGATGACGTCCCATACTAGTGATGTAAAAATTCTAAGTAATCGTTACAAAGTAACAGTTACTTTACGAGGACTCGAAGTAACGCTTACTATTTGAATTTAGGACTCGTTACTCGTTACTAAGCTAATTCGTTACTTTTGCGCCGGCAGTAATCGTAATCCCCGGAAATGCACGAACCGAGGACTCGAAACTCGATACTGAAATATTCCTTACTTCGACGTAGGTCTAGTTGTTATCAATATGTTTATGTTTAAAAGCAGTTGACTTGACGCCGGCCGGTGTTTTGGATGGCAAATGTGTGATATTTTTATTACAATTGTTATGATTGGCTCATGCCGACCCGGAGGCGGTCTGTCCCTTTGCCGTTTGTTGTCGCTTTTTATTTATAGAATATAATTATTTATTTAGATTAACATGTCTTAGATATTTATTAAAATGGATTCACGTTACTTACAAAAATGTTAACATCTGAAAAAGCAGAGCAAATATTTTTTCTTCTTCAAAAGCAGAATACTGTTTACTTACTGCAAGAAAATCTACAAAATAAAAATAGTAATTTTAGTAAACATTGTTGCGTTAATCCAAATGATTTTTTTGAAAGAGATGAATCCGCCACAGAGGAATATACATTTTTAATATTTTACATTTTAACAAAAATATACAGGGTGTTTCAAAACAAATGCACGAAAAACTTGGGGGGTAACCCTTGTTCAAAATAAAGGAGTAGTTTGCTTCACAAACGTTGGGTCAAAAAGTCAACCATTAGGGAGATATTGCGGGTACAAAGATGGCGGAAAATAATGTTTTTAATTTTTATCTTGAAAACGAAAAGAGATAGACTAATAAAATTTCATGGAAGCATTACTGTTATGAAAACACACTGTTCAGGTAATTTCACTTTTTTAAAATGAGTGGAAGGGGTTGAAATAAACCACCTCATCATTCTTGTTAACGAAATTTAAAAGAAAAATCTTATCAAACACATGCAAAAAAATTAATTTGGATAGTTTAGTTTGTTTGATACGAAACTTTTTATCTCGTATTTTTTTGATAAACTCACCGATTTGAAATTAAAAATAAAATGTAAAGCATTACATGTCAGGACAAAAACATTTCCTGATAAAGAATCTAGTGGGCTGCTGTAATTTTTGTAGGAAAAAATCTTTAGTCGGCCGCTGTTACTTTTTAGATGATGTTCCTAATATTATTTTATTTGACATTACTCTACTGCAATACGTTATTATCTAGATGATTATTATTATCGTAATTATCACTAGATTCTTAATCTAAAATGTTTTTTGTCCTGACATGTAATAACTTTACATTTTTTATTTTAATTTCCAATCGGTGAGTTTTATCAAAAAACACAAGAGGTAAAAAGTTTCTAACCAAACTAAACTATCCAAATTAAAGCATTTGCATGTGTTTGATAAGATTTTTCTTTAAAATTTCGTTAACAAGAATGATAGGGGTAGTTTATTTCAACCCTTCCACTCATTTTAAAAGTAAAAAAATTACCTTGAAAGTGTGTTTTCATAACAGTAATGCTTCCATAAAATTTCATTAGTCTATCTCTTTTCGTTTTCAAGATAAAAAATAAAAACATTATTTTTCCGCCATCTTTGTACCGCGATATCTCCCTAATGGTTGACTTTTGACCCAACGTTTATAAAGCAAACTACCATTTATTTTTTTACTATCCGCATTTGTTTTGAAACACCCTGTATACATTTTTTTAATTTTTACTCTTTAATGTTTGCCTATTTATTAATGTAATACAGAGAGAGAGAGAAAATATAAAAATACTTTATATTTATAATACATATTTTCGTTGTTTGATTTGTTTTCTTTTATTTTTAATTTTATTAATAGTACATAGTTTTTATTTAACATATCATTATAAAATATACATATTATTAAAAAAACGTATTATTCAGTACTTTGGAATACTGCAGTATTGAAATTATCCTATTAAGCCCTTACACTAGAAGAAAGTAGAAACCCCTTATAGGTTAAACAGAGCATGCAACGAAGATCGCTGGGCACAATAAGTAACGAAGTTCCACCGTCAAGCCCAAGTCTTCCAACCTGTACACAAAACAACGATTATAAAGTAACGATACTATGTACCAAAGTAACGAGTAACTAAAGTAGCGAGTCCAAAGTAAAGAGTCCTATTACCAAAAGTAACTAGTAGTCCGTAAAAGTAACTAAAGTTTACATCACTATCCCATACCAATCTATTTATTTTACTAAAAAAAGTTTCTAATATTTATTAAGTTAACTATGGATGGGTTTTTTACATATTTATTATCGATTAATACAATTTTTGGTAATGTGTTTCGTCATTTTTTTTAATTACTTATACCCGCATTCAAAATTTCAGCTAGATCGGAAAAAACGTTTATAATAATATAGTGTCTAATGTTGTATAGACAATGAATGGTACGGAACCCTTCGTCCGAGAGTCCGACTCGCACTTGACCAATTTTTTAATTTATCTTTCTGAACGTTTCTGTGAGATGTATCACTGACCGGAACGATGTGTAAGTTAATTTAAATAAAGAAAACGATTGAAACATTATTTTAATATCTAACAAATAAGTTTACCCGCTAAGCGTTCTCTGGTCAATCGGGGCTGCGCCGCCAACAGCAAGATGTCCGCCCCCAGGCCGCCCGCCAGACCGCCGGTCAGCGCCAACTGACCGTCCGAGGCGTCACCTGTCGGCAGGCTGGGGTTGGTGTAGTCGCGCGACTTGTCGTTGTTGTACTTGACGTTGAGCGAGGACATCTTCGAGTAGTCGATGCGCAGCGTGCAGCAGCTGTTGTACACGTTCTGGCCGTCCAGCGCCTGTTTGGCCGCTTGCGCCGATTGCGTGTCGGGGTACTGGATTAGGGCTTGGAACGAATCTGGAAATATCCACAGGATTAGTGTTGTGCGACAAGAGAAATGTGATTGACTTACTGTTCTTTGTGAATGTGACGATTTTGAGAACTTTTCCAAACCGCTGGAATATCTGAAATTAAAAAGAAAATGTAAATTAAAAAAAATATCACAAAACAATATTGTCAAGGTGTATGTGGCGCCATCTGTCGGAGAAGCGAGGAACTAAATCGCAACGTGTCAAGAAACCTGGCGAATTCACCACAGAAAGTAAAAGAAATATTACAGGATTACTTTGGCAGCTTTTTTCCGTGATGTATGCATTAAATTGAAACACTAATAAAACAATGAAACACAACAAATCAAACAACGAAAGAACAATGTGCACATTTCGATTACAAAGTAACAATAAAGTAGTAATGGCAATATTTGATAAGTTTTTTATTCTTATTGTCACCACAATAAATAAATAAATAAGAAAGAATAAATGCCTTTCATTTGTTTACCCGTTGCAACGCATATGAACGACAAGTACTTTCGATAAATTTATACTCATATCAAAGCATGTTAAATTGTCTTTGAAACAACTCATATTTTTTTCTTGGTCTGATAAATAGATCCTAAAAGACACAGTTAAAGTCAAAAGTTCACAGTGGGCCGATTTCTATGCACGCAAGTTTATAATACATTAATTACGTATTATTATAAGTAATTATAAATGTAATAATAATGTAAATAATCTCTCCAAAAAATCCTATATGGGTATTTAGCCACTGCAAGAAAATCTGCAAAATAAAATAGTTATTTTTTGTAAAGACTTCTGGCGTTAATCCCAAACGGAAACTACTTGTCAGAAGTTAGGTTTGCAGAAATACAAATTTGCCTAACGAACAAAAAAATGCTTAACGTTTCGGAAAGTTTATCACTTTCCGTCGTCGGTATCAAAAAAAAAATACAAAGAATAAAGAAAAAAACTATTTAAAATATTTAAATTCAACTATTCGAGAACACTTTACTTTTTTAAAACAGATACGTCTACAAGAAACCGTTGACGTTCTGTTAAAATGACATTACATCAAGTTAAACTTCAAAATTAACAATTACTACCTGATTTTTGTGTAGACGTATCTGTTTAAAGTGTTCTCGAATAATTGGATTTAAATATTTTAAATAGTTTTTTTCTTTATTCTTTGTATTTTTTTTTGCTTCCGACGAGGGAAAGAGATAAACTTTCCGAAACGTTAAGCATTTTTTTGTTCGTTAGGCAAATTTTTATTACTGTAAACGTAACTTTTGACAAATAGTTTCTGTTTGGGATTAACGCAGAAGTGTTTACAAAATAACTATTTTATTTTGTAGATTTTCTTGCAGTGGCGAAATACCCATATAGGATTTTTTGGAGAGATGAATCCGCCACATAGGTATAGACATTTTTTATTAATGTAAATAATAAATAAAACAGAAAAATATTTGAAAGAGTTTTGTAAAAAATTATTTTCCGATAACTTACCAAATGTAAAATGTCCAAATTAATAGGGTAGATCATATGTTCGACGATCACCCTGAGCACCGTATTGGGGCCACCCTGTATATCCTGACCGTTTGTCACTGGCGTAGTGGGGGTTGCAGCGGGAGTAACGGAGTTCTGTGTGAGAGCCAGTGCCTGAGCCGCCTGCAGCGCAGCTTGCGCAGAAGCATTCTGAAAATAAACAATCAAATAAGTATACAGAAAAAAGCATATATGGGATAGTTGATAGTTGTGTATCTTATTAATAAATAGTGTATGATTACAGCTGAGGATTGAAACTTCTGGTTCTACAACAGCGAAATAAACTACTAATTCACCACAATACACCTTTAGAGCCTCTTGAGTTTTTAATCATCTACTGATGATGCTAACATGGTTAGCGAAACATGCGTCCAGTGCAAAAATAGTGTTTTGGTGTATTGTGGTTAATTAGTGTTTTATTTTACTAAATGTATATGATATTCTTATTGAATTAAAAGAAGAAATGAAGGAGCATACTAATAAAATTGGTAAGACCGCGAAAGGATTTCAACATGGCTGATTTGAATTCCGGATATCAGTGGTGTTCAATGCTTTCCAATATGTTAAAATACATATAAAATACGATACTCACAATAATTTGTTGTTTTTCTTTAACGTTGAGTCAGTAAAATAAATATTAATATTAATTAAAATATACATTCCTAATAAAAATTAAAAATAAATAAGTTAATATAATTACTTAGTAACAAAAATACGGATAGGTACGCTACTGGAACAAAGAAGTAAAATTCGTAAAGTTATTAAATTCATATATATTATATCAAAAAAAATATTAAATTTTGGAAAAAAGCCAAGCCAAGCAAGACGTTTCAAAAATTTACACATTAAACAGACATTTTCAGTCCGCAGTATTTAGTAGAAAAAAACTCATAGAATGTAGAAGAACGTTCTCTTTACAAGAAAATAAGCCTCCAAATTCTATGTTCCATAAAACGAGCCAGTTATTCTTGAACGGATCGTATCGGATTACATATTTCATTAGAACGGCTCCGGCAGCTGCAGTTTAACTAATAATAATACGATTCGAAGAAAACCGACGCGCGACGGCACGGGCTATTATTTCGAGGAAAGTTTCGACAACTCGTGTCGCGTTACCCGCACCATTATTAGGCGGGCGGTCGCCTAAACGGGCCTCTTCCAACTAATAACAATAACGACGAAAGCTCCGTTAAAGTCTTTTCGTGGCGCCCTGGGCAGATATTCGACTTTCATCTTTCGGTACGCGATTCTTAAAAAGGCGTTTTTTATCGGAACGACGGACGACTGAACGAAACAAGTTCGCTAATTGGACAGACTGACTGTTAGAGACGGCGAACAATGTAATTTTACGACAACGGCCGTGTTTGGGAAGAGGAACTCTATACTCATTTGTTTGAAAGTTGAAAGCAAATATGGTTTAATAATGGAAGGTTGATTTTGGACTTTCGCTACCTTTATTATTCATCTGAGGCATTATTTTTCATTTTACTTACAGTAAAAATGTTTAACTGATCATGTTAGTCTTTTTCAGTAGCGACATATCCAGTTTTTTAAATGTTGCGGGGGCGCTGAGGTACAGCTCCCGTTTACAACAATATAGTTTGTCCAACGGGACAGACAAAACTGTTCCTGGCAGTGACAGTTGTGTATGTCTCTGTCGGTGATTTAATTGTTAAATATTTCTGCAAGACCTTTCAAAAATTTGCACATTAAACAGGCATTTTGAGTCCTCAGTATTTCGTAGAAAAACTCATAGAATGTAAAAGAACGTTCTCTTTACAAGAAAATAAGACTCCAAATTCTATGTTTCATGAAACAAATCAGCTATTCCTGGGCGGATCATATCGGATTACATATTTCATTAGAACGGCTCCGGCAGCTGCAGTTTAACTAATAATAATACGATTCGAAGTAAACCGACGGCATGGGCTATTATTCCGAGGAAAGTTTAGAACTCGTGTCGTGTTGGAAGATTATTATCCGGGCGGTCGAATGGAAATCGGGCCTCTTCCAACTAATAACACTAACGACGAAGTTCCGTTGAAGTCTTTTCGTGGCGCCCCGGGCAGTTATTCGATTTCTTCTTTCGGTAAGCGACTCTTAAAAAGGCGTTTTTTATCGGAACGACGTACGACTGAACGAAACAAGTTCGCTAGATGGACAGACTATTATGATTCAAGAGACGGTGAACAATGTAATTTTACGACAACGGCGTGTTTGGGAAGAGTAACTCTATATTCGTTTGTATAAAAGTTGAAAACCGAAAGATGGTTTAATAATAGAGGTTGATTTTGAACTCGTTACCTTTATTTTTCATTTTATTAAGTAAAAATGTTTAAACGATCCTCTTATTTTTCTTCATTAGCGACATATCCAGTTTTAAATGTTGACGGGGCGCCGATAAACAGCTCATAACGGCCAACTGAAGTTTATAGTTTGAGGCATACGAGGACAGATATAGGCTGTTCAAGGCCGTGACATTTGTTATGTCTCTGTCGGTGATTTAGATAAATATTTCTGCAATACCTTGCAGATTTTTTGAGCAATTAAACACTACTATTTGAGTAACAAATTTAGTATTGAAAAAAACTCATAGAATGTAGAAGAACATTCTCTCTTATAAGAAAATAAGCCTCGAAACGATATGTTTCCTAAAACAAGCCAGTTATTCCTGGACGATCGGATTACAGATTTTATTAGAAGATCCGGCAGCTGAAGTTTGGCAAATATTTGTTCGAAGTAAACCGACACATGGCCTATTAGCTATCATGAAAAAAGTTTAGATTTCGTATTTTCGTTCTTTCGCACTGATTTTTAGGCGGGCGGCCGCCTAAGACGGGTCTCTTCCAACTAATAACAATAACGACGAAACCACCGTTCGGCGAGCATGGTTTCTGTGATCTACAGGAAATTAATGACCTGTCTAACGTTCGGTCTGCGAGTTTAAAAATTTTGGTTTTTTATCGAAACGACGGACGATGGAATGTAAACAAGTTCGATTAATTGGACAGACTTGACTTTAGAAACGGTAAACAATGTAATTTTACGACAACGGCGTGTTTGGGAGGACGCAGGTATATGTATTTTTTGTATAAAAGTTGAAATCAAAAGATGGTTTAATAATGGAAGGTTGATTTTGCACTTTCTTACCTTTATTTTTTATTTTACTTTAAGTAAAAATTGTTATTTTTCTTCGAATCTTCGACATATCAGCTGTTTTTAAATGTTGCGCTGCGCCAGGTACAGCTCACGTTTACCAAACCTATACAAGTTTGTCCAACGGGTGTAATACAACTGCATCTGGCAGTGACAGTTGTGTATGTCGCTGTCGGTGATTTAATTGTTAAATATTTGGTGCAAGACCTTTCAAAAATTTGCCACAGAAACAAACATTTTGAGTCCTCTAGTATTTAGTAGAAAAAACTCATAGAATATAGAAGAACGTTCTCTTTACAAGAAAATGTCTCGAAATTCATATGTTCTAAAACAAGCAAGTTCAGCCTGGAGATCATATCGGATTACATATTTCATTAGAACGGCTCCGGCAGCTGCAGTCCAACTGACAATAAACGATTCGAAGTAAACCGACGGCATGGCTTATTATTACCGAGGAAAGTTTAGGCCTCGTGTCGCGTTACGTCCGGCACCATTATTAGGCGGGCGGTCGCCTATTCGATTCTCTTCCAACTAATAACAATAACGACGAAAGCTCCGTTAAAGTCTTTTCGTGGCGCCCCAGGCAGTTATTCGACTTTCTTCTTTCGGTATGCGACTCTTAAAAAGGAGTTTTTTATCGGAACGACGGACGACTGAACGAAACAAGTTCGCTAATTGGACAGACTGACTGTTAGAGACGGTGAACAATGTAATTTTACGACAACGGCGTGTTTGGGAAGAGTAACTCTATATTCGTTTGTATAAAAGTTGAAAGCAAAGATGGTTTAATAATAGAAGGTTGATTTTGCACTTTCGTTACCTTTATTTTTCATTTTACTTTAAGTTGCATTGTTAATATTGACAGTTTTGATATTTTGCGCCTCTGCATCTTGGAGGAAAGACTATTTTTAATGAACCGTCATTTCCATTTAAGTTTCCCAGCCATGGTTTACAACTATAGAGTTTGTCCAACGGGACAGACACAACTGTTCCTGACAGTGACAGTTGTGTCTGTCTCTGTAGGTGATTTAATTGTTAATTTCTGCAAGACCTTTTAAAAATTTGAACATTAAACAGACATTTTTAGTCCTCAGTATTTAGTAGAAAAAACATAGAATGTGGAAGAACGATCTTTTTGCAAGAAAATAAGCCCCCAAATTCTATGTTTCATAAAACAAGCCAGTTATTCCTGGACGGATCGTATCGGATTACATATTTCATTAGAACGGCTCCGGCAGCTGCAGTTTAACTAATAATAATACGATTCGAAGTAAACCGACGACATGGGCTATTATTCCGAGGAAAGTTTAGAACTCGTGTCGCGTTACCCGCACCATTATTAGGTGGGCGGTCGCCTAAACGGGCCTCTTCCAACTAATAACAATAACGACGAAAGCTCCGTTAAAGTCTTTTCGTGGCGCCCCGGGCAGTTATTCGACTTTCATCTTTCGGTACGCGACTCTTAAAAAGGAGTTTTTTTTTATCGGAACGACGGACGACTGAACGAAACAAGTTCACTAATTGGACAGACCGACTGTTAGAGGCGGCGAACAATGTAATTTTATGACAACAGCGTGTTTGGGAAGAGTAACTCTATATTCGTTTGTATAAAAGTTGAAAGCAAAGATGGTTTAATAATAGAAGGTCGATTTTGGACTTTCGCTACCTTTATTATTCATCTGAGGCATTTTTTTTAATTTTACTTAAAGTAAAAATATTTAATTGATCATGTTATTCTTCCTCAATAGCGACATATCCAGTTTTTTAAATGTTGCGGGGGCGCTGAGGTACAGCTCACGTTTACAATAATATAGTTTGTCCAACGGGACAGACAAAACTGTTCCTGGCAGTGACAGTTGTGTCTGTCTCTGTCGGTGATTTAATTGTTAAATATTTCTGCAAGACCTTTCAAAAATTTGCACATTAAACAGACATTTTGAGTCCTCAGTATTTAGTAGAAAAAACTCATAGAATGTAGAAGAACGTTCTTTTTA